TGTTTCAGTGTATTACTTAACGAGAGGTATGGGGCTCGCTGAGACCAGATGCTGCTCGTTTGAAAGAATTTAGGAAAAACCTGAAGCAGGATCCAAGACAGGCCAATCCTATGGTTAAGCAAGTGGCAACAGCTTGGGTGGGCTTGAAAGTTGGGTGGGGCGGAGCCTCAGGGAGTCAACAGGGCGGGGCTACCAGTGTGAGCCAGGTTGCTGGAGTCCTAGATATGGCTTCTGTCTGCCGCCCCCGGGAAGGGTTCACCAAAGGAACAAAGGCCTCTTACAGCACGTTTGTCCCCGAGAAAGCCCCTTCTCCAGCCCTCGCTCCAGTGCCAAACAGCTCAGTTCTTCCCTGTATGTCTCTTGCGCCCGTGGAGTTGCCTCCCCTCTGAACTTAGAGGGAGAGAGTCTGATAAGTCTGTGCGCGGGCCCTTTAAGGAGCTGCCTGGGGCTCCAGCAGCCTCAACCTCCCTGAGCCTCAGTTCCTGCTGGTTTTTCCAGCCAGAAGTTCTGGGGACTTCTCTTCCTGGCACTGGAACCCTGAGCGGAGCACCTGGTGTGGGACGGGGACCCCTCAGTCCTCAGGAAGGACCTTCCCAGCCGCGGGAGCCTCCTGATTTTTATCCACCACACGTGGGTGTGGAACCAGCCTGTCCCACCGCCGCTTCCGCTGCCGCCCCACCCCTCGCGCCTTGCCCCTCCTACCAGTCTGGAAGTGGCTGCTGCTTTAATTTTGTAGTTGTAGGACTTCATTCAGCTTGATTTCAGGTGGTTTTGAATGATGTAGTTTAGTTGTATCTTTGATGTGGTTGTGGGAGGTCGCGATACCACGTTTACCTATGCCGCCATCTTGACCGGAAGTCCTAACCTGTGTTTTAAACTCTGCATCTGATTGATTGCTTATCTCCATTTTCTTGAATTCTTTTCCTGGAGTTGTGTTCTTATTTTTCATTTGGGATATGTTTCTTTGTCTCCTCATATTGGCTGCTTACCTGTGATTGTTTCTATGTATTAGGTAGAGTTGTTATGTCTCCTAGGCTTTGTAGGGTGGCCTATTGTTGTATGTGTCCAGTGGCACAGTCTCTGATCACTCCAGCTGGGCCCTCAAGGTGCACCACTAGTGTAGACTATCCACCCTTCTGTTGTAATTGAGTCTTGATTGCTATTGGCACATCAATGGGAGGGATTTACTCTGGATGATCAGCTGCAAGGGCTGGCTGTGCCCACTGACCACTGGCCTCTGATTCCCTTTGAGGATCAGCTGTGTGGGGGCCCACCACACAGAATAAGACTTACTTCATTAGGGCTCTGGTACCCACTGAGTCCACTCACTGAATGTGTCACTTGTAGAGGTAGTTGGGTGGTGGTGCTTCAATGTGGTCTGAAGCTGTCCACTGGGTGTGCTAGCTCTGAGGCAAGGCCAGCCACTGACTGTGTTCTATCTGGGGCCACCTGGCATCAGCTACAAAGTGATCTGCTGATGGCTGCTTCTTGTGTTGGGCTTAGAGGTGCCCAGGAAAAGCCAAGTTTTGAACCAAGACTAGCTGCCTCTAGTGCCAGGCCTGGAGCCACTTAACAAGAGATATGGGGCTCACTGAGACCAGATGCTACTTGTTTGAGAGATTTTAGGAAACTCTGAAGCAGGATCCAAGACAGGCCAATCTTATAGTAAAGCCTTTGAAAACAGCTTGGGTTGGCCTGAAAGTTGGGTGGGGAAGGATCTCAGGGAATCACCAGGTTGGGGCAAAAAGTGTGAGCCAGGTTTCTGAAGTCCCAGATATGGCAGCCATCTGCTGCCCCAGGGAAGTGCTCACCAAAGGAACATCAGCCTCTGCCAGCATGTCTATCCAAGAGAAAGCCACCTCTCAAGCCTTCATCCCAAGGCCAAACAGCTCAGTTCTTCCTGTATGTCTCTGGCGCCCCTCAAGTTGCCTCCCCTCCAAGCTTAGAGGGAGCAAGTCTGAGTAAGCCTGTGCATGGACCCTTTAAGAGGAGCTTCCTGGGGCTCCAGAAGCCTCAGCCTGCCTCAGCCTCAGTTCCTGCTGGTTTTTCCAGCCAGAAGTTATGGGGACTTCTCTTCCTGGCACTGGAACCCTGAGCTGAGCACATGGTGTGGGACAGGGACCCCTCACTCCTCAGAGAAGACCTTAGCAGCCAAGGTATCTTCCTGATTTTTATCCACCACACGTGGGTATGGGACCAGCCCATCCCCCTCTGCCTCCTACAAGTCTCTATGTTGCTGCTTCTTTAATTTCATAGTTGTAGGACTTCCATTCAGCTTGATTTCAGGTGGTTCTGAATGATGGTTGTGTTATAATTTTGATGTGGTTGTGGGAGGAGGCAATACCGCATTTACCTGTGCTGCCATCCTGACTGAAAGTTCCTTTTTTTTTTGTAGTGTCTTTGCCTGGTTGGGTATCAGGGTAATACTGACCTTATAAAATGAGTTTGGAAGCCTTCCTTCTTCAATTTTTGAAGTAGTTTGAGAAGGATAGGTATTCTTCTATAAAAGTATGGTAAAATTTACCTGTGTAGGCATCTGTTCCAAGGCTCTTGTTTGTTGGAGTTTTTTGATTACCGATTTAATTTTGTTAGCAGTCTGTTCAGAATTTCTGTTTCTTCCTGATTCAGACTTGGATGATTGTATGTTTCTAGGAATTCATCTTTTTTTTCAGGTTTTCCAATTTGTTGGTATATAATCACTTGTAGTTTTTCCTGATAATCCTTTGTTTCTGTAGCATCAGTTGTCACTTTTCTTTCATTTCTGATTTTATTTGGGCCCTGTCTCTTTTTTTCTTGATGAGTCTAGTTAAAGGTTTATTAATTTTGTTTATCTTTTCAAAGAACCATGTCTTGGTTTCATTGATTATTTCTATTGTTATTTTTAGACGTCATTGCATTTATTTCTGTTTTACTCTTTATTATTTCCTTTCTTCTACTCATTTTAGGTATTTTTTTGGTGGGGTTCTTTTCTAGTTCATTCAGATGTAAGGTTAGCTTGAGGTAGGCCTGTATTGCTATAAATTTACCTCTTTAAATTGTTTTGGTTATGTTCCATAGATTTTAGATCATTGTTTTTATTTTCATTTGTCTCCAGGTATCTTTTGATTTTTTTCCTTTATCTCCTTGTTTACCCATTCATTTCTTAGTAGAATGTTATTTAGCCTTCATGTGTTTGTGCTTTTCAGTTTTCTTCTTTTAATTGATTTCTAGTTTCATACCATTGTGATTTAAAAAGATACTTGATATGATTTGTCTTAAATTTTTGAGACTTTTTTGCCTAACATGTAGTCTATCCTGCCCCTTGCCCCTCCAGCCCTAAGCCCAAAGCTAGTCAATTCAGTTTTATCCATATGTCTCTGGCACTTTTCTTTTTTGTTTTAATCTTCACCCAAGGATATTTTTCCATTTATCTTCAGATAGAGTGGGAAGGAGGAAAAGAGAAGGAGAGAAAGAAACATTGATGGGTTTTCTGTAATTTTAGCTGTAATTTTAATGTGGTCATGAGTGGTGGCAAACATAATGTTTACCTACTCAGCCATCTTGACTGGAAATCCAACTGCTAGCTTCTTGACAATGTCACCGTGTGCTGTTGAATGGGAACAATTTAGTGAGTTTCAGATCCCTGGGCAAGAGAGGGTCTTCTGCAGTGTCCATTATACCCAGGTGTTGGACCAAAGATTTATATCCTTCCCTTTTGCTATTCTACTTGTAGTCTGAAACTGGCAACTCTGTGCTATAGTGAGAACACCTCTTCTTGAATCTTTGTGCCAGCATCTGTCACGGAAGAGGATTAGGCACTTCTCTTGGTAGGGAGACTGTTGTCATCATGAACTGAGGCCTGTGACCTAGTCCCATCACTGAACAGACACTCTACTCAAGAGTAGCTGGTGGGATTCAGACACCCTCTCAGCAGGCTATGCACCTTACAACAGTAGCAAAAGGGAGCCAAGAAATAGCTTGTTTTATAAGATTGACATGATGTGAAAGTATCAGCTATGTTCACCATAAGACCCATTGGAAAAACATTATAAAGGTCATAACTTGTAAATGGTGACAAATTAAAAATCTTATAAGTGAAAAAAGAATTGAACAAGAAAGATATCTTTCATCCATTTAACCTTGAAGCATTCAAGAGTCACTAAATTTAGAGGACTCCTTAAGTCTTACAGATTAATTATTGCCTTTCCCACTCATTAGCACTTGGGCTGTTTTTGCAGTATTCCAGGCAGCACTGGAGCATAAAGTGGGGAACCCAGAAGCCAACCCTGGGGTAAGAAGATAAGTATAAGGGAGGTGATTTAGGAAGGTAAGAACCCCTGGCAGGCATGGGGGAAGCGGCAGGGAAGGGAGACAGCCAATAGACAATGTTACTGGTCAGATACAGCTGCAGGTGACTGAAGCTTAGTTCTGCTGGGGAAACTGTACGCCAGTGTAAAACATACACCTGTAATGGATTTCTCCCAAGGTACCAGGTTGCTGGGCATTTATCCATCTCCTCCCCATCAGTCATTATCTGAGGGCTGCTCTGAGGGGCCATCATCCCTTGCATTTTGGTCTACTCAGCAAGAGGTAAAGGACTCCTGAGCGAAGCAAGAGAAAACCCTCAGGCTGCAAAATGCAGCTCTGGCAGTTCAAAGCGATGGTCTTGTCAAGCAGTGAAGGCTGAGAGATGTGGGGTAGAGCAGCAGCCTATACACAAGCCCAGCCAGTGGAATGGTTTCCAGTGGGGCTATATTTCCTGTGCATGATGGTTATTTTACCACAGTTAAAATAATCAGAAGAACAGAACCAAAACAGGTACAATTTAATGCTTCTGCAGTTATATTTTAGAACAGAATAGGATGATTAACAGATACCAAGTTTCATGTGTTTCAGAACATCCCATTGAAGTCTGCATCTTGAACTATTTTGTAAAATGACAAACATTTACATGATGTAAATTACAGAATGAAACAATGAAATCCTAAAAGATGATGGCAAGTAACACAATGAACAAAGGCCTAGTATGCATAAATTTTCACTTTGTGGACTTCCTTGTCTTCACATTCCCTCTGTTTGTTGTAGTAATAGAAAGTATTGTCCCGTCTCTGAAGTTTCTTCACATATCCTGTCTCTGGCCAACGATCTACCTACACATCAAAAACCAGAATACAGATATTGTCATGCCAGTTCTATTTTATATAATATTTTACTATCAAATAGTTAAAAGTATAAGTCACATCAAAAAGTTAAAGTATAAAATTGCTTTGAAATACTTGAGGTTTTAGAGAGTATTACACACACCCCAAAACTCATCTTAAGTTGCATCCTTTAATAACAAAACACCTAATTTGGTGTTTCTCTCTACATTCTAATTTCTAGGCTTAAATTTATACTCAGTGACCAAGACAGAGGAAACATTTAATATACTCTAAACTTAACGCATATGTCTACAAATGATTTTAAAAACATTATTACCTCCTAATTTTTAAAAGTAATACCCCATGAGGAATTAGGGCTAAGCCAGACCCCATTCTGAGAGCTGACTGTTGATGGCACGAAAGTGACTAAAGAAAGCAGCTAGACTTGACATAAAGGGCCATATGCATTTCCTCACATCTATGTTTCAAGTTTACCTTGAAACTCAATTTTTTTTTTTTTTTTATAGAGTGGGAGGGAGAGAGAGGAAGAGAGAGAGAGAGAGAAACATCGACATGAAGGGACACATCGAGTGGCTGCCACCCGCACGACCAACCAGGGCCAGGGACAAACTGCAACCGAGGGACGTGCCCTTAGCGGGAACCGAACCCGGGTCTCTCCGGACCGCAGGTCGACGCTCTAACCGCTGAGCCAAACCGGCCAGGGCGAAACTCAATTTTTAATAGAAATTTGAGATCATGAATATGGTCCTTGGCAGTCTTTCTTACCACCACCCCCCCACACACACACACACACACATTCTTTCTCGTATGTCTTATTTGTTGGCTTCCTTTATAGTTTGGCCTGATCTAATTTGAACATTTTTCTCCCATTCCTCAGCAGATTCATGTTATGCCCCCTTAATCAAGTCGATGCATTTCTGTGTTTGTTGGATATGTTTGTTTGTTTTTTCTGGATTTTGTGAGATGTACCCTCATTGTCAAAATCTGGTGTTCAGGTTTCCTGATCTAAACCACCAAATCTTGTCCCTCAACACCATCTGCACAGGCAGCTTCACTTCTCACAGTCCCCTCTTAGAAATCATCCTGTTCAATGGAAATCGGAATACAAAGGCAAACACATTGTTAATTGCTAACAGCACATTTTCATTTTCTTCTTTGTCTCATTATCTAGGAAATAGCAAAAATAAGTGACAACACATCTGATAAACTACAGCAAGCTCTCTGACACACAGTGTAGAAAAAAAGTCATAAATTTTATCACTTAGGTCAAGCCTGCCTTTGTAGCTTCCGTTGCCCTTAGCAGAGAAAGAAAGGTGTTCTCAGGACATCATTGACAGCTCTCTTCCTCTGGGAGCCTGTAGGAGGTTCTGTTTCATTTACTAGGGTCTTGAACACCATCTCATGCAGTGAAGAGACAGTATGTACAACTGCTGTTTCCAGAGAACCGCCACAGCCACTTCCTATGGAACAAAGAGCCTCCAAACAGCTACACTGGTTATGTACTCATCATGATTTCATGATTGATTGATTTCATGATTGATTCCTTCCTAGCTTTTCACTTAATCACTCCCATTCAACCAAGGAAATCTTCACTCCTGAGAGAATATGGACTGGAGTGATATGGTCCTCAAATCGAGCTCCCCTTAGGCAGGAGAGCAGCAGCACTAATATCATCCATAAGGGTGAGTGCCTCAGGTCAGGACAAAGAACTTCACTCACACCCTTCAGACTGCTGGTTCATGCCACTCAAGGCAAGCCTTCCTCCCCACCCCACTTATCCTTTAAGGCCCACTGCAGATCCCTCTGGGGGCATGATGCCTTTTCAGAGGATGGTCCCCAAAGGACCAACTGAATTCCTGTGCTTTTTCTTTTAAGGCATATATTTTAACTTATATAAAATTTTATTGTTCTTGTCATTCTCATTCTTCTTCTTCAAGGTATAAGAATAATTAGAGTTATCACTCATTAAGCACTTTCTGTTCACTCAGCCAATTATCATTGAGCATTGCAATGTCAGGCACTTCACACACATGCTTTCATTTCATTCCTGTGACAATTTTCTGATGGAGGCACTGCCATCGCAGTTTTGCAGTTGAGCTCAGTGAAGTTAAGAACCTTGTTTGGGATTACCCAGCTATCAAGGGGAGAGCAAGGTTGCAACCCTTGGACAGACTGGCTGCAAATCCTGTACTCTTCCCACTGGCCTACAAAATTTCTTGAGGTCAGCATGTCCTTCTATTTTTTATTTCCTACAACACTTAGCACAGAAATTTGCACATTGTAGGTACCCAATAAATATATACAACTGAAGTGAAAACCTCTCTATAATTGCCAAGTCACACCACAAAAAGGGTTGTTCTTTCCTTCATCACACACACACACACACACACACACACACACACACCCTTCTCAGGTGCTTTTTGGGACTTCTAATTTAATGGTATTCTTATTGTCCTCTTAAATCTAATTTTACCTCAATTACAACAGTATTGGGGTAGCTGTGCCTATATGATCACATCATCTATATGATCCTAGGCCTTATACCTTTTAGGGGTATCCCAATCTTAAGGCAAGGTATAAAGCTTATTATTATTATTTTTCAAATCTTTATTGTTAGATGTAAAATGTATTACAGATGTTCCACATTTTTCCCCCATTGACCCCCTCCTCCCCACTCCCGCCCCCCTCCTGCCTTTTCCCACACTATTGTCTGTGTCCATTGGTTATGCATATAAGTTCTTTGGTTTATTCCCCCCCCCCCCAAACCCTTTCCCTTTGAGGTTTGACAGTCTAGCAATGAATTTGTACTTCTTAATCTCTTCACCTTTTTCACCCATTCCCCCAATCCCCCTCCCAACTGGCAACCAACAAAATGTTCTCTGTATCTATGAGAATGTTTCTGTTCTACCTGTTCATTTTGTTTGTAGATTCCATTGTCGATAGATATGTATTCATTGCCATTTTGTTTGTTCATATATTTTATCTTTTTCTTCAAAAAGACCCTTCATCATTTCATATAATAACGGTCTGGTGGTGATGAACTCCTTTAACTTTTTCTTGTCTGGGAAAGTCTTTATATGGCCATCGATTCTAAATGACAGCTTTGGAGGATAGAGTAATCTTGGTTGTAGGTTCCTGCTTTTCATCACTCTGAATATTTCTTGCCACTCCCTTCTGGCCTGCAAAGTTTCTTTTGAGAAATCAGCTGACAGCCTTATGGGAACTCCCTTGTAGGTAACTAGCTGCCTTTCTCTTGATGCTTGTAAGATTGTGTCTTTGTCTTGAACCTTTTGCATTTTGATGATGATGTGTCTTGGTGTGGGCTTCTTGGGGTTCGTCTTGTTTGGGACTCTCTGTGCTTCCCGGACTTGTATGTCTGTTTCCTTCACCAATTTAGGAAAGTTTTCTGCCATTACTGTTTCAAACAGGGTTTCGATTTCTTGTTCTCTCTCTCTTCTCCTTCTGGCACCCCAGGATGCGAATGTTGGCACGCTTGAAGTTGTCCCAGAGGCTCCTTACACTATCCTCATTTTTTTGGATTCTTTTTTCTATTTGCTGTTCTGATTGGGCGTTTTTTGCTTCCTTATATTCCAAATCGATGGTTTGCTTCTTGGATTTACATACTCTACTACTGAATCTGTGTAAGTTATTCTTTATTTCAGTTCATGCCTCCTTCAGTTCTGACTGTGCATCCATCATTTCTGACTGGTCCTTTTTTATGCTCTTGAGGCCCTCACTAAGTTCATTGAGCATCCTTATAAGCAGTATTTTGAATTCAGCATCTGTTAGGTTGCTTATCTCCATTTCGCTTAGTTCTGTTCTTGGGGTTTTGTTCTGTTCTTTCCTTTGGGACCTGTTTCTTTGTCTCCTCATTTTGGCTGCCTCCCTGTGTTTGTTTCTGTGTATTACTTAACGAGAGGTATGGGGCTAGCTGAGACCAGATGCTGCTCGTTTGAAAGAATTTAGGAAAAACCTGAAGCAGGATCCAACACAGGCCAATACTATGGTTAAGCAACTGGCAACAGCTTGGGTGGGCCTGAAAGTTGGGTGGGGTGGGGCGGGGCCTCAGGGAATCACCAGGGCAGGGCTACCAGTGTGAGCCAAGTTGCTGGAGTCCCAGATATGGCGACTGTCTGCCGTCCCAGGGAAGGGCTCACCAAAGGAACAAAGGCCTCTTACAGCACGTTTGTCCCGGAGAAAGCCCCCTCTCCAGCCCTCGCTCCAGTGCCAAACAGCTCAGTTCTTCCCTGTATGTCTCTGGTGCCCCTCGAGCTGCCTCCCCTCCAAGCTTAGAGGGAGAGAGTCCGATAAGTTTGTGTGCGGGCCCTTTAAGGAGCTGCTTCGGGTTCCTGCCGCTTCAGCTTCCCTGAGCCTCAGTTCCCGCTGGTTTTTCCAGCCAGAAGTTATGCGGAGTCTCTTCCTGGCACTGGAACCCTGAGCGGAGCACCTGGTGTTCGACAGGGACCCCTCAGTCCTCAGGAAGAACCTTCCCAGTCAAGGTATCCTGATTTTTATCTGCCACACTTGGATGTGGGACCAGCCCGTTGTGCTGCTGCTGCTGCTGCCGCTGCCGCTGCCCCCTCGCGCCTCTGCCCCTCCTACCAGTCTCAATGCGGCTGCTGCTTTAATTCTGTAGTTGTAGGACTTCCATTCAGCTTGATTTCAGTTGGTCTTGAATGATGGTTGTTCTGTAGTTCAGTTGTCACTTTGATGTGGTTGTGGGAGGACACAATACCATGTTTACCTACGCCGCCATCTTGACTAGAAGTCTTTTGAAGCTTATTTTTTAACAGCATTAAAATGTTAATGCTTGTGTTTTATCTATTTAAAAGCTATAGATGATACAGTAATGAAAAATACCTTTCAGTAATTGGGACAGAGAAAAATGTTAGATGTCAGAAGACGGAAACAGTCAGCCCTCTGTATCTGTGGGTTTTAGATCTGCAGAGTCAACCAACTGCTCATCAAAAATATTAGAAAAAAATCAAACAGTTCCCAACAGAAAAACTTGAATTTGCCATATGCCAAGCACTACACTGAATTCATGCAAATGAAGTGATGTGTAGGTATACCCTACTGTAGTCTATCTGAAAATATAGGTCATATGCAAATACTACACCATTTTATATAAGGAACTTGAGCATCCATGGATTTGAGTATCCACAGGGTTCCTGAAAACAATCCCCTGGAATACTGAGGGATGACTGTATATGAAAACCACAATCTTCATTTGATCATTGTTTATAACTTCATTCCTCACTAGCCCTACTATCTGTCAAGTTAATGTCCATTAAATTAAAGGGTTTAACTGCAAAGAAAGAAAACTACAGACCAATATCCCTGACAAACACAGATGCCAAAATCCTTAACAAAATATTAGCTAATCAGATCCAGCAATACATCAAAAAAGTATTCACCATGACCAAGTGGGATTTGTTCCAGGGATGCAAGAATGGTACAATATTTGCAAATCAATAAATGTGTTGCACCACATAAACAAAATGAAATATGAAAACCATATGATCTTATCAATAGATGCTAAAAAAGCATTTGACAAAATTCAGCACCCATTTCAGATAAAAACGCTCAGCAACAAAGGAATAGAGAGATCATATCTCAACATAATAAAGGCCATATATGAAAGACCTACAGCCAACATCATGCTTAATGGGCAGAAACTAAGAACATTTCCATTAAGAACAGGAAAAAGACAGGGATGTCCACTTTCGCCACTCTTATTTAACATAGTACTGGAAATCTTAGCCACAGCAATTAGGCATGAAGAAAAAAATAAAAGGAATCCAAATAAGGAGGAAGTGAAACTGTCATTATTTGCAAATGACATGATATTGTACATAGAAAACCCTAAAGACTCCCATCAAAACTCTACTAGAATTAGCCCTGGCCGGTTTGGCTCAGTGTTTAGAGCATCAGCCTATGGTCCAGAGAGACCCAGGTTCGGTTCCCGCTAAGGGCTCGTACATTGGTTGTGGTTTGTCCCTGGCCCTCGTTGGGTCGTGCGGGTGGCAACCACACGATATGTCCCTTTCGCGTCGATGTTTCTCTCTCTCTCTCTCTCTCTCTCTCTCTCTCTCTCTCTCTCTCTCTCCCCCCTTCCACTCTATCTGAACAAAAAATGGAAAAATGTCCTCGGGTGAGAATTAAAAAAAAAAAAAAATCTACTAGACTTAATAAATGAATTTAGTGAAGTAGCAGAATACAATATTAACATCAAGAAATTGATGGCATTCTTATACACCAACAATGAACTCACAGAAAGAGAAACTAAAAAAAGCAATCCCATCTACCATCATGACAAAAAAATTAAGATACCTAGGAATAAACTTAACCAAAGAAGTGAAGGATCTCTTCACAGAAAACTGCAGGTCATTGAAAAAAGAAATAGAGGAAGATATAAAAAAAAAAAAATGGAAGCATATACCATGTTCATAAATTGGAAAAATTAACATCATTAAAATGTCCGTACTACCCAAAGCAATCTATAGATTCAATGCAATTCCCATCAAAATACCAACAACATACTTCACAAAACTGGAACAAACACTCCAAAAGTTTATATGAAACCAAAAGAGGCCCCCAAAAACCACAGTAATCTTGAAAAAAGAAGAACAAAGTAGGAGGGATCACAATGCCAGATATCAGGTTATATTGCAAAGCTACTGGAACCAAAACAGCCTGGTACTGGCACAAGAACAACCACATAGATCAATGGAACAGAACAGAGAACCCAGACATTGACCCAAGACAATATGCTCAATTCATATTTGACAAAGGAGGCAAGAACATACAGTGGAGTCAAGACAGCTTCCTCAATAAATGGTGTTGGGTAAATTGAACAACTACATGCAAAAAAATGTAGCTAGACCACCAACTTACACCATAAACAAGAATAAACTGAAAATGGATAAAAGATTTAAATGTGACTTGTGAAACCATAAAAATCCTAAAAGAAAATGCAGGCAATAAAATTTCAGACATCATATGCAGCAGAATTTTCACTGTTACATCACCTAAGGCAACAGAAACAAAGGAAAAAATGAACACATGGGACTACATCAAACTAAAAAGCTTCTTCACAGAAAAAGAAGCAACCATTAAAATGGAAAGGGAACCCACTATATGGGAGAGCATCCTTGCCAATGATACATCAGATAAGGGGTTAATTTCCAAAATATATAGAGTACTCACATAACTCAACAAAAGAAAGACAAAGAACCCAATTAAAAAATGGGAAGAACAGAGGAACTAAATAGACACCTCTCCAAACAGGACATCCAAATGGCTAAGAAACATATGAAGAAATGCTCAACATCACTAATCATCAGAGAGATGCAAATCAAAACAACAATGAGGTATCACCTCACACCTGTCAGAATGGCCGCCATCAACAAATCATCAAACAACAAGTGTTGGCGAGGGTGTGGAGAAAAGGGGACTCTAGTGCACTGCTGGTGGGAATGCAGACTGGTGCAGCCACTATGGAAAACAATATGGTATTACCTCAAAAAATTAAAAATTGATCTTCCATTTGACCCAGTGATCCCACTTCTAGGAATATACCCTAAGAAGCATAAAACACCAATCAGAAAGAATATATGTACCCCCATCTTTGTAGCAGCACTATTTACAATCGCTAAGATCTGGAAACAGCCCAAGTGTCCATCAGTAGACGAATGGATCAAAAAGCTGTGGTACATATACACAATGGAGTACTACGCAGCGGTAAGAAAGAAAGATCTCTTATCCTTTGAGACGACATGGAGGGACCTTGAAAGTATCATCCTAAGTGAAACAAGCCAAACAGAGAAAAACAAGTTCCATATGATCTCACTTATTTGTGGAATATAATGAACATAACAGTTTGAGGAATGGGGTAGTCCCAGAGACGCGGAAGCGGGGTACAGACTGACAATCCCCTAAGGAGTGGGAAGGTGGGGGAGGGATGAACCACAGAACTTATATGCATGTATGCATGAACAGTGGACATGGACAACAATCTGGGGAAGGGGCAGGGAGGGAGGGGGAGGGGGGAATCAGTGGGGGAAAAAGGAGAAACATCTGTAACAAAAATTAATCAATAAAAAAAAAAAATGCAGAGGACCTAAAGAGACACCTCTCCAAACAGGACATACAAATGGCCCAGAGACATATGAAAAAGTGCTCAATGTCACTAATCATCAGAAAGATGCAAATTAAAACAATAATGAGGTGTCACCTCATATCTGTCAGAATGGTTGCCATCAACAAATAATCAAACAAATGCTGGCAAGGGTGTGGAGAAAAGGGGACCCTAGTACACTATTGGTGGGAATGCAGACTGGTGTTACCTCCAAAAAATTAAAAATTGAACTGCCATTTGACCCAGTGATCCCACTTCTAGGAATATATTCTAGGAAGCCTGAAACACCACTCAGAAAGAATATATGCACCCCTATGTTCATAGCAGCACTATTTATAATAGCTAAAATCTGTAAAAAGCCCAAGTATCCATCAGTAGATGAGTGGATAAAAAAGCTGTGGTACATGTATACAATGGAGTATTATGCAGCTGTAAGAAAGAAAGATCTCTTATCCTTTGAGACAACATGGAGGGACCTGGAAAATATTATCCTAATCATAACAAGCCAAGTAGAGAAAGACAAATATCATGTGATCCCTTATTTCTGGCATATGATGAACTAAACAAACTGATGAAAAAAATTGACCCAGAGTCATAGAAGTAGGGTATAGACTGACAATCCTCCAAAGAGGGGGTGGGAAGGAAGATATAAACCACAGAACTTATATGCATGTATGCATAACTGATGGACATAGACAACAAAGCTGGGGATGGGGCAGAAGGGGGAGTAGGGTGTCAATGGGGGAAAAAAGAGAAACATCTGTAACAAAATCAATCAAAAAAAATTAAAGGGTCTATTACATGTTAGCTCTGTAATGCCTCCAATTCCTTTTCCTATCTACTTTTAGAGAAAGTATTAAGTAGAGATTAAAGAGTAGAATGAAATAAAAAGAGAAAAATAAAGATCTAAAAAATCCACATGTGAATTAGTCTATAAAAAAATGGAGAGATAATACTAAAAAAAAATAACTAAGCTAATAATACTTTATTGTAAAAAAACCTAAATTAATAGTACTTTGTTGTAACCCCAAATCTGAGCATTAAAACACATTTATGAATACCATATACCATATTCTGTCATATTCCTAAAAACTCTGTCTCCTACTATCTGGTAAATGAATTTTTTTTTAAATCCTATTATAAACTGGTGCCATGTCTAGATTTTCACCGAGTCTTTGTAAAGCCAAGTTATGTCTCGAGTCTGTCAAGAAAGCCTGGGAAGCACCACCAATGTCCGGAGTTGTTCTCTGATGTTTCTTTGTCTCCTATAATCTCCTCATTAAACATAATTTAATCCCTTTACAATTTGTGGTCAAAATTAAAAAGAAACTAGCATTTAGCAGAGCATAGTTGTCCAATAAAAGCCAAACAAGTCTTAACATTTCCACGCTGAGGGACGACCTCTTTCCTCAATCTGCCTCAGTATCACTCCTCTGGGCCTTAGTCTCCTCTTCAATAAAATGAGACAGTTGGAGAAGAATTCCCTTTCATTTATTCTCAGGTTCTTTGCTTTAATACTTTCATCATCTAACAAACCCATTTTGAGTTTAGGTCTGTAGAAGCATAAAACTTACCATAGAAACTTGCTTCACTTGTTTGTATTCTATTTCATCCCGATATCCTGCTTGTTGAAATCTGTACAGATTTTCAATCTCTTCTGACCACTTTTTGGCACGACTTATTGATTTTGGTTTCACATCAGAACTGGCCATGGCTACAGAGATCTTATTACCAATTAATTCTGAAAGATATTAAAACAAAATTAATAGATGACATAATAGTGACAATTTGAAAGTCCCTTTAAGAATGAACAAAATTAGCATTTAAAAATAATTAAGAGAGTTTAGAATCCCACAGACAACAGTATGGTGATTGCCTGAGGGAAGGAGGCGGGGGGAGGTAGAAGGGAGTGTCAGGGGTGAATAAATGATGACAGGAGACTTGACCTTGGGTAGTGAATGCATGATGCAATACAAAGGTGATATATTATAGAGTTGTACACTTGAAACCTGTATAATTTATTAACCAATGTCACTCCAATAAAATCAACAAAAATTAAAAATATATACATATATTAAAATGTAAATATTCAATTCCAAGATTAAGAATGATTCATGCTCTATTTTGGAAATAAAATAAAATAAGCCCTGAAAGATACATAGATAACTTTTCATTTCTTCATCAAATACAATTGCATTCAGAATTATGGAGGGATGTCCTAAAGACTAGATACTAGTTCTGGTGTTCCAGGCAATGGTTTACACATTTCTGAAATCACACATTTATAACTGCTCAGTAGATTGTCAAAATATCCCACCACCCATGCTCACTTTGGCAGCACACATACTAAAATTGAAACAATATAGAGAAGATTAGCATGGTCCCTGCCCAAGGATGATATACAAATTCATGAAGCATTTCATATTTTAAGATAAATAGATATAGATATATATAGATAGATAGATAGATGATAGATAGATGATAGATTAGATAGATAGATGATATAGATAGATCTCACCACCCTTCCATTTGATTACATTCAAAACCTCATCTCCCCCCCCCCCCCAAAAAAAAAAGACTAGTCTTATGACTCTTCTTTTTCTTCTTGCTGGGAAGCAATGGTTTCCTCTTTTTCCATTTCTTAACTGCTTGGAGGCAGCCGGCAGTTCATTTACTCAGGTCTCTTCGGGCCTGCTCCTGTGATAGCCAGAAGCTATACTGATTTTAAAATAATGAAGGAGGTCATTAGTAATCTTTGAAATTCAAATATTTAACTGTAGTTTATATACTTGTCTATTCACCACACTTCTATAGCCAGTTTTTCAAAGACATAATCTTTCACTTGTTTTTTCATTTCTATTTCTTATTATTTTTTTAATCCTCATCCCAGGACATTTTTCCTTTCCTGTTCAGTATAGTGGGAGGGAGAGAGGGGAAGAGAGAGAGAGAAACATCAATGTGAAAGGGACACATCGAGTGGCTGCCACCCGCATGACCAACCAGGGCCGGGGACAAACTGCAAACCAAGGTACGTGCCTTTAGCAGGAACTGAACCCAGGCCTCTCTGGACCGCAGGCTGACACTCCAACCACTGAGCCAAACCGGCCAGGGCTCTATTTCTAATTCATTATGAACATATATCAGTCATTTCACTGAAATAGTACCCAGAATTTCACCATAATCCCTTGAACCCATTTTTCTATTAAAATATGTTTTTAGCCCAGTTTTTCTCAGTGGTTAGAGCAGTGGCCCTCAGATCAAAGGGTCGTGGATTGGACCGCTCTAACCACTGAGAAGATGGGCCAGGGCTAGACCAGTAGGGGGCACGTCCCTGGGTAACAGGTTCAATCCCTGTCGGGACCAGGGCAGTGTGGGAGGCAACCAAAGGATGTCTGTCTTTCTCTCCCCCGCTCTGCCCCTCCCTCCCTCCCTCCCTCCCTTACACTCTATCTGAAAATCAATGGAAAAAATCCTCAGCTGAGGATTAACAATAACAACAAAATGTTTCTAAAACATATCCTTTTCAACATAATGAGTTTTCTATTAAACCTTATAAAGTAGATACTGTAAATGAATTCATATTTTAAAATTTTTTCAATTATAATGACAAATACTAATTATGTTGAAAAGGTCAAGAAATACAGTGAAGTACAAAAAAATAAAAGGCAAAATAAACATCATATAAATTAGAAATATTCATCCTTAATACCAGATAAATATCACCCCAAACATATGAGTTAGAAGGACAGACTTTACAATTTTATTAAAAGGAGTCTTACAATAAATGCTTTAACAAGTGTATGTTTAGCTTTACCTGGATTTAATGGGGCAAAATAGGAAATGGGAATAAAATGGACAGAATTGCTAAGTTTCAGATAAATGTTCCTTTTATATAAAAGATGTAGCCTAAAATTCCCTCAGTGGTTAATAAAAAATATAATGAAGACTGAATTATTTGAACTCCATGTATAAATCTCACACAAATACTGATTCACTCTTATCTATCAACAATAAGAAAATTAGTCTTATGCTTCCTCCTACCTTTTCTAGCTTTTTGTTACATTACTTATTTAACATTCTAAAGTTGTTTGGACTTAGCTCCAGATTTAAATGCATTGAAATGCATCTGAGTCACACAGTTCTTACTCTGATCAAGGTAGCAACTACTTAAGTGCATATATCATTAGTATTGTTTTTGTACTTTTTGCAACAACTCACTTGTTGGTCTTATCTATTTAGTATGTAGATAAGTATATATGCATATATATATGCAAAATATATAAATGCATACCAACATATATATTGATTCAACCAAAAAAATTAAAATATTTGACATTTTGAAAACTTTTGGTTTTTATCAATTTAGATTCAGGTGCATGTTGCATTTTAAGGCACTGCATTGTTATTGTATAAATTTATGTAAAATTTAGAATACCTGACAAGGCAATAGATAAACCATATTTCAGTGAAACCCTTGTGCTTCGATTCTTTTTTTCCTCAAATATGTTTTCATTCATTTTAGAGAGAGAAGGGAGAGGGAGAGGGAGAGGGAGAGAGGAGAGGGAGAGGGAGAGAGAGAGGGAGAGGGAGAGAGGAGAGGGAGAGGGAGAGAGGAGAGGGAGAGGGAGAGGGAGAGGGAGAGAGGAGAGAGGAGAGGGAGAGAGGAGAGGGAGAGAGGAGAAGGAGAGGGAGAGGGAGAGGGAGAGAGGAGAGGGAGAGAGGAGAAGGAGAGGGAGAGGGAGAAAGGAGAGGAAGAGGGAGAGAGGAGAGGAGAGAAACACTGAACTCAAAACCTGGGCATGTGCCCGACTGGGAATCAAACCGGTGACCTTTCGGTGTATGGGATGATGCTCAACCAACTAAGCCACACCTGCCAGGGCTGTCCTACAATTCTATTTATTTAAATGTGGGGTTCACTGCTTCATTGCTGTACAACATACTAAATAGATAAGACCAACAAGTGAGTTGGACATATGGTACAGCCCAATAATCCATTAACATATATGATTATAGAATATATATTCCATAGGAAAAAAGACACAAGAAACATGAAATGAAAAAAGGTGCTAATTCACTTTGTTAAATACATTTTCGAAACTAGTCATTTTTTATATCAATTTAGTGGCTTTATTTCTTTTACAGATGAAGCACATTTTCTAAAAGTAATGATACAATCTTAATTTTTGTTTTACCCAAATCATTTTTGCTTAACTCATATTCATTCAAAAAGCATTTTCCGAAGGTCATCTATGTAATTTTTGTCACTTTCAAATAAAACAATCATGCCAACTGTACATAGAAAAATGCTACATTTTTATACAATAGGTGAAGGGGGTCAAAAAGTAAAAAGAAAAAATAAATATGGTGCATTACTAACCAACACCAGAAAAAATAGTTTTCACATTTTTTTATATGTTTGTCTCCCCTCATCCATGGGGAATACTTCCCAGACCCCCAATGGCTGCCTGAAAACTGGATAGTACTAAACCTCATATATACTATGTTTTTTTCTGTTATGCAGACATCTATGATAAAGTTTAATTTATAAATTAGGCATAGTAAGAGATTAACAATTAATAATAAAATAGAAAAACTATAGCAATATACTGTAATCAAAATTGTATGAATGTGATCTCTCTCTCTCTCTCTCTCTCTCTCTCTCTCTCTCTCTCATTACTGATCAGATAACCAAGAGGGCTACTAAGTGACTAAGGGGCAGGGAGCATATAAATGTGGAGATACTGGACAAAGAAATGATTTACTTACTGACTGGGATGGAGCAGGTGGCAAGAGATTTTATCACACTTCTCAGATCGAAATGCAATTTAAAACTTATAAATTGTTTGTTCTGGAATTTTCCACTTAATATTTTCAGACATGGTAGACTGCAGGTAACTGAAACCATGGAAAACGAAACTACAGATAAGGGGGCTACTGCAATTATTTTGTGTGTCTGTATATTATCAGTTCAGATACTCTGAACATAAATTTATCAGGGGTAAAGCATATGAAACATAAGGAAAGGAGGAGCAGGAGTCTGCAGGAGAAGTTTTTACACCACCATGTGCACCTGACACCTGTGAATGGAAAAAGAGATGGAAGTATTGGGTGGGAAAAGCTTCAGATTGCAAGGCAGCAAGCTCTAAGAAAGTCTTAGGCCGACAGGGAAATCCAGCACAAAAAATTCCTGTGGAGGACTCTTGCCTCAGAAAAAGATGGTCAGGCCTAGTACCACCACCATTTCCAATTATTGACTGAGAGCTACTGGAGAAGAGCTTAAATTCAGTTCAAGTGCTGCATTAGATCCCAAAGGCAGGGGAGTAGTCAGATAACTGCAGGAGCAGCAGGTTGTTTCTTGTAGGAAGAGCTGAGAAGTACATCTTCATGGCTGCTCCAGTCTGACTTGCTAAAATGCTGAATTCTTCTAAGCCATAGATCAAGTCTGTAGTTCCAGCTTTAATTATAATGCCTGAAACTCAGTAACTGCTCAACTAATGCTTGGTGAAATGACACGTTTAAATGCAGTATGGCAAGTCAGGCATTATAGATGCAAAATGTATAGAAACATGTCGTTTGATTATATAAATCTTATAAAAATATAAATGACACTATTAGTAACAAGCCCTGGGCGACATAGGAAAAAGTACAAACAGAAACTGCTAGAGGAACATAAATCTTACACAGAATAGGCCCCAGGGAAATTCTAAAGGTCTGGCAAATTCCACATTCCCAAAGACATCTGGATAGTAGACTTGTTATAGCTCCACAGAAATTAACTTATCTGTGTTTGGACCAAGCTAGGATAACTACTGAGATGAGAATGATAAATAAGGCCTGTAAGTGTGGCTCAATGGATTGAACATCATCCCATGGACTGAGAGATTCTGATTCAATTCCCATTCAGGGCACATGATAGGTTGCGGGCTCTATCCCCAGCAGCAGTTGTGCAGGAGGCAACCTATCCATGGTTCTCTCTCACATAGATGTTTCTTTTCTTTCTTTTTTTTATCCTCAACCGAGGACATTTTTGCATTTATCTTCAGATAGAGCAAGAGGGAGAGAGGGAGGAGGAGAGAGAGAGAGAGAGAGAGAGAGAGAGAGAGAGAGAGAGAAATATCGATATGAGAGAGACACATCGAGGGGTTTCCACCCACATGACCCCAACCGGGGCCAGGGACAAACTGCAACCGAAGTACATGCCCGTAGCGGAAACCGAACCCAGGACTCTCCAGTCCATGACTGACACTCTAACCGCTGAGCCAAACCAGCCAGGGCATCATGTAGATGTTTTTATCTCTCTCCCTTACTCTCTCTCTAAAAAATCAATAAAAACATTTTTTAAAAATAGAATGATAAATGTGATGTTCAGAGCTAAGTATATTGACTACACGGTGAACTGCACCTTTGCAATCACACTGTACATTGTGCA